GGCGGGGAAGGGGGTCAGGGAAAGTTCCCACCGGGGACGTCTGCCTGGCTTCACGGACAGTATTGAAGCAGCCTGGCCCCAAGGCCACCATGAGCCTGCGTGCAAGCTGTTGACCACTCCCCTTTGAGCTCCTTGCTCACTTCTCAGGGCATGAACCATCCCTCAAAGCTCCTCTTCTTTCTCTTGACCCCTCCAGAATTTTCCTCCCTATCATGCCATCCATTTGCCTCATTAGGCCTTCCCAGCTTGCTAACTGTGCATTATCTGCCCAATTGACACATTGCAAAACCCTCCTTAAAAAATCAGGGAAAACATCCCCTCATAATCATAACTACTGAAAACCTTTCATTAAAAATGCTGCACCACTATACTCTCCATATAAAGAAGTGACCCCTTCCTGTCTAGANTCCCCTCATAATCATAACTACCGAAAACCTTTCATTAAAAATGCTGCACCACTATACTCTCCATATAAAGAAGTGACCTCTTCCTGTCTAGAATCCCTAGGAACTCCAAGTGCAAAACCATGAACACACACCCACTCTTGTAGAGCAGACACCTGAATTGACATTATCAACAAATGGTGAGGTCTTCCTGTCACCTCTGTCAATGCCAAATGCCAAGCTGATTAGTGACTGGGCCTTGTTGGAAATTTGGGGGTGCTAATCACTTCAGTCATTCTCTCCGTTTTAACTGATAATTGGGGGGATGAAGGAACCTGATGAAGATAGGAAGCTTTATATCTGGCCAGAGAGTTCCCAGCAACCCCAAAATGCCAGCTTTTGGAATATGTTGACAGATACAATGTAATTTTGACCTGAGTTCAAAGAGAGGCTTCCACCTCCCTTTCTCTAAATTTTAACCTTGAGGGCTGCCCATGGGGAAAATGGATCTCTAGAGCATTCATTCATTCAAGAAGTACTTGTTGAGCACCTACTACATGCCATGTACTATTCTAGGTACCAGGGATACAGCAGTGAACAAAACAGACAAAACCTCCCAGTCCTTATGAAGTGAATTATATAGCTTATAAGATGGTGATAAGAGCTATGGAGAAACATGAAACAAGGTAAGAGAGATGAGTGATGAGGGGAGAGGCCAGAGAAAGCTTGAACAAGAATGTGACATTTGAGCAAAGCCATGAAGGAAGTGAGGGTGTGGATCATACAGGTATCTAGAGGAAGAGTGACCTAGGCACAGGAAACAGCAAGTGCAAAGGTCCTGAGGTGAGAACATACTTGGAGGTTCCAGGAACTGCAAGAGGCTCGTGTGGCCACCATGAAGTAAGTACATACATGTGCATATGAGAGAGAGAGTAAGAGATGAGTGTAGAAGTAGTGGAGGGTCAACTCTAGTGGGCCTTGCAGGCCTTGTCAGAGCCTTGACTCTTCTGGAGTGAAAGGTGGAGTCATTGGCAGGTCTTGAGCAGAAGAGTTACGCGACCTGACTCTTGTGCTAAACCAATTACCCTCAACTATTGAGAGTGAGGAGGGGGGCAAGCCGATCAGATTGGAGGCTGTAAAATAGTCCGGATGAAAGGTGAGCATGGCTCGAGTCAGAGCAGCAGCACAGGGGCTGGCAGAAGGGGCCAAGTTCGGGTGTGGTGTCTTTAANAGGCTGTAAAATAGTCCGGATGAAAGGTGAGCATGGCTCGAGTCAGGGCAGCAGCACAGGGGCTGGCAGAAGGGGCCAAGTTCGGGTGTGGTGTCCTGAGGAATTAGTGACCATGAGAACACCACCGGGAGTGAGGAGCGAGAGGCGTGAGGGGTACAGAGCGAGGCTGTGGGCCAGAACCCCTGGAGGGACGCGCTGGGCCCTACTGAGGTGGGGAGGAGCTTGGGCAGAAGACCCGGAGGTCAGGGTTGGATGTACAGGGCGAGGCAAAAGCAGGTTTACTGTGGTTCACGTAGAAAATACTACAACAGCTAATCAATAACAATACAAGAGTAAACTGTGTTTTGCATACTGACAACTGACAGCCTCCTCTCGCCCACCCTGTAGTGCGTGGATGTCTCTTAGACACCCATGTGGAGAAGCGAAGGAAACCATTAGACGGGCAGGTCTGCAGTTCAGGATGGATGTAGAAACGTAGGACCGTGAGCATGTTGTGGTATTTAAGAGCGGATGGCTTCACCGGGAGAGGGTGTAGATAAAGAAGAGGAGAGGCCCCANTGTAGAAACGTAGGACCGTGAGCATGTTGTGGTATTTAAGAGCGGATGGCATCACCGGGAGAGAGGGTGTAGATAAAGAAGAGGAGAGGCCCCAAAACAGACCCCCAGGCCCCCAGGATGCTCCAGGACTCAAAGGGAGAGAGAAGGGGGAGGAACCCCCAAACAAGACTGACAGGCAGCAGCCAGGGAGGGGGGAAGAGAGCAGGTGACCTGGAGCCGTGGAGAAAGCGTTTCAAAGAGAATAGAGTTAGTATCAAATCTTGCTGACAGGTAGACGGATCGAACCAAATGAGGACTGTGAATTGACCATTGGATTCAGCAAAGTGGAAGTCACTGGGGACCTTGTCAGGTTTCAATGGGCCAGTCGCCTGGTTGGAGGGGCTGCAGGCAGAACAGGAGGAGAGAGACCCTTGGTATTTGAAGCGTGGTCCTTGAACCAACACCATCTGCATGGTCTGGAGCGTGTTAGAAGCGCAGGTTCTCAGGCTCTATCCCAGACCCAGGGAACCAGAAGCTGCATTTAAACAAGATGCCCAGGGGGCTCCCATGTGCACTAAAATTTGAGCAAGCCTGGTAGATATCCCCTGATATTGTAAAGAGAAGGGGGAGGGGGGTTAAGAGATGTTTTTGTTGTTGTTTGTTTGTATAAAAGATGAGAAAAATAATATTATATGTATAGGTAGATGTTTCCCCAGCCAGTGGGCATCCTGCTTGACAATTCTATCTCCAGCCAGACAAAGACAGAGACAAGCCAGACTCAAAGACGCCTCTTTAACGTTATGGCCCCGCTCCAGCTAAGCGGGAGTCAGCCTTCCCACTAGAGTCGGGTCAATTGCCCCTGTGCTCTCTGGCCCAAGGAAAAGCAGCTGAAACCACCTTTCTCAGGGCTCAGTTCACCAGGGACATTGCCGCTCAGCTTAGGAGCTTTCACCCCCTTTTGTTGCAGGCTTGGAGGGTGGCCGAGCCTTCTTCAATGCAGTCAAAGAAGGAGACACCGTGATATTTGCGAGCGATGACGAACAGGATCGCATCCTGTGGGTCCAGGCCATGTACCGGGCCACCGGGCAGTCGCACAAGCCTGTGCCCCCGACCCAGGTCCAGAAACTCAACGCCAAGGGAGGGAACGTGCCCCAGCTGGATGCCCCCATCTCCCAATTCTGTAAGTAGACATGTCATTTGTTCAAAATTGTTCTGTAGAGTCAGTCTTCCGAAGCTGAATTAGAAAATTCTAGCTGCTTTAATATTAAAGATTCATAACATCGTGTTTGTGGAAAACAAAAACGGTGAATTTAGGGGGGAACGTTGGGACAAAAATGTTAGATGAAAGTAGTTTTAAAGTGCAATACTTGACACTTTAAGGACTAAACAAAGGGAAGTATATTTTAGGTTAATTTTTATCTCTTTGTGAGAGTTTGGAATTCACAACCAAACATGTATGTGTGTGAGTCCTATAAAAATAGTAGATTATGTGTGTCCTTGCCTCAATTCTTCCTATTAAAATAGGGCTTGACTTGAAAAAAATTTAAATCTGCAACTTAGATCCATTTAAAAATAAATGATGACATTACCACATGCAGTGGAAAACAAACAAACAAATAAAAACCAGGGTTTTTAAATACCAGAACCCAAAAATGAAACCATATCCTTAAATAGCCCTAGTTCTACTCCAGTTTCTTCTCCCCTTTCCGCTGCATGCATTTTAATTTCTTTCCTCTTTGCCACGTCTCCTGCTACCTCGGCTAGTTTTCATCTCCCAACCCTTCTGATGCACAGGGTGAGGTGAAATCCAGCATACACCAGAGACATTTATTAAAACAGAGAAGATGGCAAGATTGGGAACATAAAGCACCCAATAAAGCAGTTCATTTTCATTACAAATATTGGTCCTAAGTAGTGACTTTTGCCTTTCCCTGATTACCAAGTCATTAGCCATAGCTCAGGGACAAGTCATTTTCAGCAATAGTCATGGTGATTCCTTACTTTAGCATGGAGCCCACTCATTCAGTCTAGTTCATTGAGCAACTGTCTAGGACCTAGGTGATGAGACACACTAATGAGAAAGACAGACGAGGCCCCTGGTCTCAGGATACCTGTGTCCCAGTGGAGGAGTCTACATAGCAAGCAAGTCAACAAAGAAATAGGGTAGTTTCAGACCCTGAGAAATACCTTGAAGAGCATTTCATGCCTGGTGAGAGAGTGAGGAGAGGGGATTTGATTTGATTTTAAATATGTCTTTATTGATTTCAGAGAGAGGAGAGGAGAGGGAGAGAGAGAGAGAAACATCAGTGATGAGAGAGTCACTGATCGGCCGCCTCCTGCACGCCCCCGACTAGAGATCGAGCCCGCAACCCGGGCATGTGCCCTGACCGGGAATCGAACCCCGATCGCCTGGATCCTAGGTTGATGCTCAACCGCTGAGCCACGCCCAGCCGGGCAGGAGAGGGGATTTTAGACAGTTGATCTGAGCGTAAGTCCAAATGATAGGGAGTCAGCCCCACAAACATCTGCAGCAAGAGCAGAGCAGCAGAAGGGAAAGCAAGCATCCCGCAGGACAGACCTGACCTTCAGCACGGTGCTTTGACATGGTCCCTCTTCTGCTCTTAATGAAATGTGGATGAAATGATTTTGTAGCTACAGCAACTAAATAGAGGTAAATGCTCTTTCCAGTGAATTCCACTGTCATGTCCATTTCTAATAAGACTTTCCTATTAAACCTTGTAACACCTTTGATGGGGAAAAACTCCTTTTAGATGACAAATGCTATCAATCAGGTGCTCCCAGGAATTCCTGTCCAGTACTGATGGTTGTTAAAGGAAGGTCCATTCCCTGTGGAACATTGTAAGTTATCACACAGTCACTGTGGGTTTCCATGTATAACTCCTGAAAGAAAGAGGAAGAGTTGAGGAGGGACTTGGGGAAGAAGTTACAGCCCCTCTGATAGTAACCACCCACAGCATCCCCACTCTCTGCTTGTAGCATTCAGGTTTGAGAGCTGTCAAGAGAGGGGACATCATTTCTTTCTGTTGAGTTGTTGGTTGAGATAAAGCATATCCAATGCTTATTTAATTTTTTTAAAACCCTCTGTGATGGAATTCCTCCTTTCACCTTGCTCAACAGGCTCCTTTATAATAAATTTGGAAACAAAACACCCCCCCTATTAGAGCCCTCTGAAATGGAGTTATCTGTGTATCAGGAAAAAAGTTTCCCAATTATAACAGCCATCCAAACCAACCTCATAAAACATGTATCTCAGGTGATATTTGGAAAATTCAGGTTTTATTTCCAAATAATCTCCTTTTTTCTGAAGTCATTTCACCTTCCATTCAGTGTGTCTATTCTCTCATCTGCCCTGATTAAGAAATTACTACTTGGTTTGTGTGTAGCCGCCCTTTCCTCAGTAGGGTAGGAAAGAAGGACATTCAGGAGTAATACTGGTTAAAACAAGACGACCACTGGTGGAAGCTGCAGAAGAGGGTAGATGTGTCCTCATGGAAATGCTTAGGCTCTTGATTTAAATTCCCCTCTGTGGACAGGATTCACTTGGCTATGAAATTGAAGTGCTAGTCATTAGGCATCAGCAGGAAGATTCAGTTGAGTACACGAGCCTGATGTACGTCACTCCCCTAGTTAACGCAGGAACTTCTATTAGAGAGCATGGAAGGTGGGCTTTGAGATGAGCAACGTCAGGTAGTTCATGCCTCTGGGCTTTATCAGTACCTGGTTGGTGGCACCTCCTTAATCACTGCCCAAGAATGGGGGTTCTCCAAAGAGTGTGAGGCCTGATCACATCTACCGGGCACTGTAAGAACAATGCAGAGGAGGCATTTTTCATGCAGACAGACGTGAATTGTGCAGTGCCCAATCTACACAACTGTACACCACCACCCTGTAGTAAATGACGATGCTTACCCAGAGCTTCTCCCACAGTGTTGAACCCAGTAACCCCGTAATGACTTTACTACGCCGGAAAGAGAGTCTGGGCACTGCTCCGCATTCCATCTATTGCTGGTCCAGGCACTTCACCAAAACTGCAGCCAGGGTACCGGCAAGTGAGGGCCTGTTGCCATGACTTGGCGGCCAGATGAGGAACCTGGTCAGGACTCAACCAGCCCAGTCTTCCCCCCGGTCACCTGCAGCTACGGGTATCTGAAACCCATCACGTGAAAGACCAAAAAAGGAACAGGAACTTTACATTCTGAGGTGTCATGCATGCTTGTACATACCAAAAAAATGGCTAGGGGTTGGAGGTGTATCTTAATTTTTATTAGACTTATGTCACAATCACTTCACAGCTGCATTTAATTTGTTAAATTCAAACTATCACTACTAAAGAGATCAGTCGAGCTAGGTGTGATTCAGACTTAGGGCGACCGACTCCTCTTGCCCACAACTTCCCTGGTTCTAGCGCTGAAGTCCTGTGTCCCCAGGCACCCCTCAATCCTGGGCAAGCTGGGGCAGACTGACCAGCTGGTCTACAAAGTCAGCTTATAGAGAAATAAAAGCAATCACAGCCCAGTGACAGATGGAAAATGTTGGTCTTTCACTGACCTGTGGTTCTCAGTCTCTACGTTGATTTGCTTTTGGTCCCATCACACACTTTAAGTCGAGCACAGATTCTCTAACAAAAAGAGTAAAAACAATCAAGTATTGCATTTTAAAAAGGTTTCCTTGACTTCCAAAAGGTAAGGGTCATTGTTAAGTACTTTATTCTGTGCGCATCTCATCAAATCCTGTCTTTGAATATTTGTTCAAAGTATTCACCATTCTTGCAAGTGAATAAGTCTTAAGGGCAACTTTCAACGAGTTAACTGTGTCACTACTTTATTAGTATTTACATGGCAAAGGGAAGCTACAGATAAATGGGAGAGGACTTTTGGGGAGAGGAAAATAAACACTCCAGTCTTGTCATGTCGCTGTCTGTTCAAGGGAAACTTGAGAATGGAACATTTGACAGTTTGGGGAACTTGGGAGCAATTGTGAGTTTATTTGGGTTTCTAAATTTAGTTTAATGGACTTCTGGGTGCAGTTTTTAGTTTTTGCAATTTCAAAAGCTCGATTTCAAAATGAAAAGACACGTCTAAGAAAGAGTGGAGTGGAGTATTTATATTCAACTGTAAATACTGGAAAAAATAGATCCTGCTATTCATTAGTTTGTATGAGACTCTACAATGATTTGGGGAGGGTTCCACCAAACGTTAAAATTCTTTTGTTCTTTTGTGGTTTTTTTGGTGTGTGTTGTTGTTGATTTAATTCCCCCCCCCCTTTTTTTGGTTAAAACTTGAGAAAAAGTAAGTCAGTGCCCAGCTATGCAACTTGTTTAAACAACTAATTGCAATCTTCCAATTTTTAAGACCAATGCTGCTTACCTCAGAAGCAATATCCAAATCTGTGTTTGGGTGTTGCCACATTTATTATACCAAGTGGCCTCTCAGTGAGACATCTGATCCCCGTGTGAGAGGAATGGGAAAATCAGCACCTCTGGGGGGTACTTTAAGCTTTGCTATTTGGTCAATTGATTGATATATCACTTGCAATGAGTCTCATTTTAATGTCTGTTTCTCAATTAATAACTGTTAATGCCATCACAGATACCCAGCGTTGGGTGTTTTTGAGAACTGTTCTATTTTTCTACCACCTGAACAGTCTTCAGCAGTTAGAGGGGTCTTGGTTACTGTTGGTTTGGGGGGAGGGGTTAGTTTTGGTTTCGGTTTTGGTTTGTTTCATTTAAGTTTTCTTGTTCAGTCTTTGCTCGAACCCAAGAACCTTAGCCGTTAGGTTAGAGCTCCTGTCTGCTTTCCTGGGCCTTGTTGCTAGTCTTTATGTTATTCTGGTTTGTTCCTTCTTACCCTGCTAACTTCTAGCTGGACTGAAGGGTAAGTGCTCCCCTATAGCTAGCACAGCTCAGATAATCGGACTAGATTATCTGACACCTGCCATGTGCTTCCTCCCTCTCCTCTTATATCTTCCTCCTGTCTAGACTCTGTAGTAAAACTTTTCATGTTCTTTTCCTGACCTCAGGTTTGAAATGTAAGCTTCATACCGAAACTAGGGTGCATGTGACGTGTGCATAATTGCCTCCTCTCCTTGGCTTTCATATTGGCATCAAATGATCCTCTGAGTAAAGCCAACTATTAACATCTCATTTCTTTCATTCCAAGA